TAATTTCGACCATTTCGACTTTTCATTTTGACTTTGACCTCCAAAGTCGAAACATTTCGACTTTTGGGTTTTCATTTTGACTTCATGTATAATCTAGATAATAAACGGTAGATATACCCATTACTCTATTAGTATAAATTTATAACATATCAGTTTAGCATGTAATCGTTATTTCATTGGATTTTCTTTTTTAGTACAATCTTTTCTCCTGAAAAAAAGGAGACACAACAAATAAGCAGTATATTTTATTAGATAAGCTGTACAACACTCTATATCTTTGCAAATCGATTTACGCTATTGCTCCTGATAATTTTATTCCTAAAATGGCTAATTTTTTCGCTAAAATAATCAAGCGAATCTGCCTGAATTTTTTATGAATACCCTGCCTATTTCCTTCCAACAGACTTCATGTTTTGATCTGCATTTACCTATGAGAATGGAGGTTTTTTATACCGAACTGCGCCATGAATGAAAGAAGTTCTACCTTCTTATATATTCGATTGAGAGAAAAAAAACTAGATAGATATTTAGTTCTTCCTTTGCTCTTTCTTTAGATAAAATGTAATAAGAGAATAGTACTTTAGCCGAAAATATTACGCATAATATAGCCTATTCACATACTATACATATATGATCCTAACGAATATTTCTATAAATTTTTATTAATAAAAAAGTGCATAAGGCCTCACGGCTAAGCATTTACGAAAAATATTATTCATTGCTTGAATAAGATGTGGGAGTATGGGTTATGAGAATATCACTAACTTTTTTCATCTTTAGGTACAATCATCGATCTGGATCTTAACATTTCTTTTTTCAGAAATAGGGGTATGGATATGCTATCATTTTCATGCAAAACGCCTTCGGCAAAATTATTCTAGGCCTGTATTTCGACGTGGTTTCTCTTTTCTAATTATACCTAGCATTGATGGGTGATTCCTTACCGTAGAACTGACTGTAAAATGTATAAAAGGATGTAGATTCACCTTTAGCTTCACTAGCGATAAATCATACTAATATATCGTAAAAAATCACGCATAATTATCTGTGGTCTAAAAATACCTGAACAATTTTTCCTACTTTACTCTGAAATTATGTCTGCACTCGTCTTACAAAACAGCGCCTTGTGGCCTATCTTTGAAGATTCCACACTTTTTATTCTTAGCGCATTTTTCTTGATTTATGTCATCAAAAACCAATTCTCCAATAATCTTCCTGCACGTGATGGAAGTACTACTGCAGAAATCAAAAAGACCTTTATTGAAATGACCAATGAGCTTTCTGCATATGATACTAAAATTGCCAATGAAATTACCTCATGTGTATCTGCAATTAAGGCTTCTCTCCCTGCAGAGCTCGGCAGAATCAATAATGAAGCTGATGCAAAGCTTAGTAGAATCAACAATGAACTTAATATGACTCTTAATGAAGAAGTTAATGCGGGATTCAGCAGAATCAATATCGAACTTAATGGTAAACTTACCGCAGAAATCAAAAAAATAATTCACGTGACGCTGTCTACTCATCTGAGTCGCAGAAAATTTTATCGATGGTCGATAATGTGACCACAAGACTCAGTAATATTGAAGAAGTCTGCCGTAATGATTTTAACAACATTTCATCTGAATTCACTTCGATCAAGACCTCTATCAAAGCTCTCCGAAATGAAATGATCCAACATTATGCAATTGCCCAAAGGCTTCAGATCGATTTTGATCAACTAAGTGTGGCTAACCATTCCTCTAGTAGCGAAAGTTCTTCTAGTCAATTATCTGATTCATCTCTTGAAGAAAATAGGAACTGTTTTAAACAAGTTTTTGATTCGAATAAGAAAGAAGGGAAACCTTAGATTATACGTTTGAAACTATTAGACGTGAAATTCGTCAACTTACTGGGAAAAAGATTAGGAAAGAAACTGTAAAAAATTTTTATTATGGAGGAGGGGATCCAAAGTTTAGAATAGTAATGTCAATTATGAGATGGGTAGATAGTAAAGAAATTGCTCGTAGTTTAAATAATAGCTTAAATAATAATTCAGAGTAGCAGAGAAGGAACTGCCAGTATATGAGCTAGGGCTTGGCAGACTTTCGAGCAGACATGTTCTTTCATGCCTTTCCTCCCTTGAAACAACCTGCTATTCTATCATTTTTTTATTTCATTTTTACTTAGCTGGCCGGCTCTTTTTCATGTATTATTTTACAAAAAAGATAATAAAATTTTTATTTTGAATTTTTTAAATCATATGAATTTACAAGTGATATTATATTTTTTGCTTTTGTGCTACTAAAATATTAAAAACACTATTCTATACTAACGTAAAAAAATCTTATTCCTGTTGTTCATTTGACCTTTCACAATAATTAATGGTTATATTGATGACATTAGCACTCTGAGAAAAGGAAGAAAGGGTAGGTGTGACTGGCCTAGAGGTGGTAGGGTGTTCGACAGTTGATGGTGTTATGGATCTCGATGTAACAGACATTTCCTTAGGTGATCAATCTGTAGATGCTTCTATTTGTGATGATGATGACGAACTTGCTCTACTTGAATTAACACTTTCATTATATCCATGACGAGAAGGTGGCTTCCTCCAAAAATAAGTAGAGAACTCGTCATAAATTTCTTCCTCAATTAAGCTATTCTTTTTTATACCTTTTGTTTTATGTTTTTTTTGCCGTCTAATAAAAAATAATAAATATAATGACCAGCCAGATTATAATTACTCAAACAAACAGAGTACTCTACTTACACCAAAAGCTTTCGTGAGAGATGAGAATTTCTTATGATAATCCTCGCCAGTAAAGTAGTTTGTATTTTCCTGTTCATTTAACTTCATAGCAATATCATCCCAAAAAAGTCGTTTCTTCTTGTTTGGAATGGCCCAATACTCAATATTTCTCTGCTTTCGTTCATCAATAAGAAGTCGAAGCTGAGCATTGCTCCACTCAAATGTAGACATTTTTACATAGTGAAAAACTAGCGTAGGATGGACTGTTTTATGAAGAATTATCGAGTGATGTGTTAGACTGATTAATAAAATGATTAATCGAATAATAATGGTGGCTTAGACTTTTTTCTGATTGGCTGATCACCTGTGATTTGAGAAAACACTCAGCGTCATGAAAGTATTGTGGAACTGTCATAGAACTGGCAGGAAACGAGAGATATCTCATGTGATACAAATTTATATTTTAGCTGTCTATGGTGATTGGGTCTAATTTAACCAAATCTGTTAATCTACAAAGATCCTCTACATGCATATGTGAATATATATAATGTATGCACAGCACCTTTGTCGGTTTCGAATAAAAATGAATCTGATATTTTATTATAATATACTTACTATAAGTCTTTTCGCTAAAAAAATGTTATAAATCACTAAAATATCTATAAATTGCTATAAAACCCTTATATCCGTAAAATGGTTAAATTTAATGGTTTGAATCCTATAGTAGTGCAGGCGTTAAACAATCTGCAATATAGGTATAGTGGTGAAACACCAGAAATGTGGTATTTTCGTGTTCGTTATTCATTTAAAAAACTTCTTGAATATAACCCAAAATACTTTTCCAAAAATGGATTTATCTAAATGGTTAAAAGGGTATATATAGATGGAGAATTTAAAGCTGGAGAATGCTCATTTAATATTTATTGCACTGTATGTGATTCTTTAGTATTTATCCATAAAAATACCATCGAATGTGCAAATATTCACCTAAACGAATGCATTGCTAAAACAGCTAAAAGGCACAATACACCTATACAAAAGAATACAAAAAAAGGAGGAGCGTCAAGCCAAAAGAGTGTGTCATCACTTAATTCTGACGAGATAGATGAGATTTATAATATATATTTTTTACATTAAGTAAATGCTAGACTAAATATAGTTATCATGATTTACCTGAAGATAGGAAAAAGGTTGTAAATCGTTTAATCGAAAGTGCAAAAGTTA